GCAAAATAATCAAAATTCGGTCATTACGACGTCATTTCCGGCAGTCCCTCAAAAAAAAGGTGATTCTGCGTTGACAGCAGAACTTCTAACAGGATCATCAAAAGTACAAAGAAAAAATACGTGTTTGAACTAAGACCATTAACTAGGTATTGGATGTAGAAAAGACAAATAAAGTGAAAATAATATTTTTGGCAGATGTTTATGTAAATTTTGGTGAAAATTTCCCGACCTTTTTTGTTTTTTAAATATTTGTAATTTTCAAAGCTGTAACTCCAAAACTATTACTGGGATCAACTTGAGAATTTAGGACAATATTCTAGAGCTGTTATAGAATTAAATAAGACAATAATTTCTTTTTATTGTTTTTTAAAGCCGTTAAACCCAAAAGCTGTCTTGGCATTTGATTGTTGTGTTAGGTTAGGTCTCATAGCTTCATTGTGATTTTATATATTTTTTCGTTCTGTGCATGTCAGTGTGTGTGTGTGTGTGTGTGCACTGTCAATAAATCCTCTATTGGAAAATATTTGATTTATGAGTTCAATAATTTTTAAAAAGTAGAAGATATTCTCTTAATTCTGCAGACACTGTCACCAAATCGTGTCCATTCTTTCTGGCGTCAGGCGTGTTCCTTCTAATCAGCTTTATCGTCTTCCTTGTGCCAACCTGTTCGCATCAGAATAATTTATATTACTTCAGTGCGGGCATAATGTTCATCGTATCGGGTGAGTAAAATGTAAATTTTTTAGAGATATATAATATATATGCATACATACTTACATACAAGAAATACTAAAAGTTAGACAGAAACAAAATATGAAAATAAATCATATTTATCGAAGAATGTTATAAAACGATTTTATTTAATTTAATTTTTATTATCAGAGAGCATTTGTATATATAATGTATAGTATATAGTTTATTGGCGGCAAGTATAAAAATATTTTTTCTTTTCTTTCGAGAAAATATTTTTTCTTTCGAGAAAATATTTTTCCTTTCTTTTCAGAATACATATTATTGAAAGATATCGATGAATTCCTGAAATGTTTCATTATAGGTTTATTAATGCTCATCGGGCTGATTGCCTACATTTCCATACTAAAAGCAGAAATCGGATCGAAGCTGCGTTCGCGGTCCAGCTTGCAGCCACCACTCTTTAAGGTCACCTACGGACAGAGTTTCTTCTTATTCGTGATCGGCTTTATAACAACGGAGTTTGTGGGACTATTGAACATATTTCTCTATATTAGCTTACAAGAAATCGGTTACTACAACGTGAGTATGGCAGATTAAATTAAACTTAAACATAAAGCGCTTAAAGTCACTTTATTCAGCTTGCTTTAAAATAGTTGTTTTGCTTCAAAGTTGCAAAAAGCCGAAGTCTCCATTTAGATCACAACGATTTTCCGCCTTTTACTTGTTCAGCCTCAAAAAATCGCCCTTATAAAATAGAACATCTAGTATAGTATTAAAAAAAATAGCACTTTGCAACTCCGTGTACATTCAGAACTCACAACAAATACAAGACTAATCGAAAGCTCAACCACAACAAATCCCAATATTGCACTGAAAATGATTTTCATTTGAACAATACCAACCGCTTCCTCAGCCGTTCAATATCCTCCGTTCAATATCCTCACATAAAGATATGTTATTGGACAATGTCCACACATGCATTTGAACATTTCACACCTCTCCTTTTACAGCATCTGCCTTGTTTCACCATCACCAACCTGCAGGAAAAACTGAAAGAGAGCGAAATTCCACAAAGCCACACCTACAAAAGCTACAAGCATTCAACATCCTCGGCAGCGGTCGCACCCACTGTGCGTAAGCCTCAACAAGGCCCACGGCTAGGCACTAATAGCCATCATCAGGTGCACAATGTGTGTCTGCCGCCGACCACGGCCGAAATGGAATTGAATGGCAAGCAGTTGTTGCAACACACCCACGGTTTTGTGCCCTGTCGCAAGCATCCGAATGCAGCGGAGGCGTACGTCAACAGTGATTTGGAACGCAGGTGGAATATTTTTGCCCCATTGCCCATGTATATTTGCTTAGCTACTGACCAACTGACTGACTCTTACATACATTGAGTCACTTTGGCATTTCTGTATGTACAATAACGGTTTTCCCTTTACATATTCCAGGTATTATTTCGAAAAGTCGCAGCAGCCAAAGTGCAATTTGCATTCCAAAAACTTTGCCAAATCTCTTAATGAACTCTACACTGATTCGGTTGCTGGTCTGCCACCGCCGCCGCCATCAGCCGTGAAAATGGGTGGCGTATCTCAGACCTTACCTCGTATGCCGCTGCAGTACACACAATTTGGCGACTTCACGCAAGATTATCCGCTCACCCGCAGCGTCTCGACCACTACAGACATCTACCCCAGTCACAATACTCGGCACGCCACACCGCACATTGAACGTAGAAACCGTCGCAATATGGCGACGAACACACGACCTCTTGACCCAGCGGTAGTGACACTAAGCGAAAGTGAACGCGGCGATGAAAGCGAAAATGAAAGAAATCAGCAACGCCGGCGGCAATTGGCCGACAGCCAGTCCGACAGTTGCTACGATGATGATGAGCCACAGCGACTGTGTGGTTTGAAGCGGGGCATACGTAAGACTAAAGATGAACTCTTTCAGGAGTTCTGCAAACGCGCTGGCATGCGTCCAAAGCCCAAAAACATTTACTTCATTGCAAGCGAGGAAGATACGGCGGCGACATCTGACGACGAAGCACAACAACGTCGTCACTGCAAAGCCACTAGTCATATTGGTAATGGACAACATAATGGAAGTGCTGGTGGGCGTCGGGATTTTGGCAGAAAGAATTGCCAAATAGATGATGAGCGGCAACCTCCGCGGGAAACAGATGAGGACGATGAGGGGGAGGGTGGATTTTCGCAGCTACAAGACGAGGATGAGCACATTTACGTTATTCAAGGTGAGCAATATAATGAACACACTGTGAAATGGCTGTAAATTAAATGAGAGCATGCCACACTTAAAAGCATTGTTTTTAATTTGATCAACAACATTATTTTTAGATAATCCTCAATATTTAACCAACCCAACATATCGCAATCTTCGTCGCTCTTCTATGTTCGTCGAGCCGGCACATCTGCGTAAACTCAACTCTAATCTTTCACTGGCCGCTTTATATCAGCCCGAAAGGACTGCCCAGAAGAGCTCATTTGCTGTGGACCGCAGCGACTCGGCAATGGAAATCTGGCCGCCACCGCCCAGCTTTAGCAACGGTGAACCCTATTTTGCGACTGCCAAAAGTGCCTACTATGGTTCGCAAAATCGTCTACACCAGGATTACCAACCCAACGTTCAAATATTTCAAAGTCGCACTTTGCCACGATCCTTTTTGAAAAATCAAACGAACTCGCAGAACAGCCTTGGCTCTGGCTCGCTACACGCAAGCGCTTCAGCATTACACAACAACTATAGCAGCAGTCAGAGTCGCTTAACAAATTTGATGTTACAACAGCAACATCAAAATCAACAGCAGCAGCAACAACTACAACAGCAAAATCATTATCTGTCACAATCACATGCCGCCGGAATCTACAATTCGGCCTTTGCGTTGCACAAATCCAGCGAAGACCTTGCTGCGGCACGCAACACCGCCAACTATGGTGAACGACGCCAGCAACGGCCACAAAACAACAGCAACAACAATGATGGAAGACTACAGCAACCAGCAGTACATTGGCCTGCCGCCATACCGTCCTCACCGTCCGGCTACGCACCCAACTATCAGCAAATCCAACAACTGGGCGCACCGCCGACACGTTCACACCATGCAACAGCTCCCCACTTGGCGCACGCGCTTTTAACACGCTCCTTCAGCAGTAACGCTAGCGGCGGCGCTGACAGCGGCATTGGCAGTGGAGGCGGGAGTAGCAGTGTGGTCAGCGTACCGCCGAAATTTCAACGCGCCTACGCTTTCGATGAGCAGCGTCGACCCAGCGCTTTATTGGGCGAAACATTCGACCCCGAGGAACTTGAGCGTGAAAGGCGGCGTTCGCATGCCAGTGTCTACAGCGGCATATCCATGATGGGTGGACAAAATGGTAATAGTGGTATCAATAACAACAACAATACTGACCACTATGACTTGATTAATGGCACTGCTGTCTGAGAGGGAGTTCACTGGAATACCGCTAGCCGGCAACAAACTGAAAGGACTTTGTTGGATTGGCTGCCAGCAAAAGCATCAGTTGAATGGTAGTAGCCGCAGGCGGCGCTTTGTCGGGTATAGCACAAAGCGGAAATTGATGATTGTCGATTACCAAATGGTTGTACGTCCGCCCTTCCCCTATCACCCCAACAAAACTGGCCAAATGGTCGGCTTAGTGTAATTAAAACTGAAACTTAGGAAAACATTGTTGCACTGCCAGATTAGTATAGGTATAGCAGTCGTGAGGTGCCGACAAACGTTGGCGAAAATATTTGCCATTCGAGATTCGGCTTAGAGGACTGTAGAAAATTTATGGTTAACAAAATTTAGTAACTAAGAAACTGCACTGATTTAAAGGAATGTATTGTAATTTATATGTTGTGCACAAAGTTAGAATAAAAGTACATGTGATTACAACAAAAGTATTCAGTATATACTTTTTAGGAACTCACTGGATCATTGATCTTATATTGGCATTAGTGGCGATTATAAGAAATCTCTGAATGATGTTCAAACGCCAAGGCTACGAAGAACGTTAATCTCTGTGCTGTGAATTTTTTTGTTATAAAACTATGCTGGGTAAAAATATAAAAATGTCAAAACTAGATAGCAATTTACATTCGAAATCTCTCTGAACCGGATTACTGGCGACCATTACATGATGGGTTAAGGCTGTAACACATCAAGTATAATCTGAAATATACTCGCTGTAGAATCAAAGCTCTTTGCAAACCGACGGACCGTAACAATCAACCGTCAAGAACTTTCCAGCAAACACATTAACAACTTCAATACACGAAAGTTTTCCCTTAATTACAATTTGATTTGTATATTCTGTAAATTGTTACAAATAATTTCTTTAAGAATTCTCATTAACATTAATTTAATAAATTTAGATGAATTTATGAAAATTTGTTTTAAAAAACAAGCAATTAAAATTTGGTGATTGGCGAACTTAAGTGATGATTCAAGTTCTGTTATCAACTGTCGGCTTTAAAACTTTTCTGCTTCATTTATATCTCTGCTCACACTGCAGCTCATTTGCGCGCTACCGTTAGAGGAATTTTACTCCCAGAAATCGCTGCCACTATCACTTTTCTTTGTGCGTTCCACACCGCCGCCACCGCCACCGCCAACGGACATGTGAACCGCACTGCTAGAGGAAGAACTGATACCTGACACCTCTTCGATAGCGGGCATTGGCAGCGAGCTCACTTTAACACTGCCCATTGGTTCGTACTCTTCATCGACTTCCTCTTCGGCCTCTTCCTCCTCTTCCACCGCAGCGACCAGTTCTTCCAATTCTATCTCCTCATCGACAGCCTCGACCATGCTAGCGATTTCGAGCGATGACTCGCTCACCACTTCCTTTAGGTTATCATCTACGCGTATGGAGAAGGTTGTTGAGGATATTGTTGGCGCCAGAACGTTGATTTCAGTCGCTGAACTTGTAATATTATAGTGCTGCGGCCTTGTTGCTGGTACTGATCTTTCCGCTGGCATATTTCGTGCCTCCACATCAGAGCAGGCAAATGTATTCAATGCGTCCTCTGCGCGTCCATTAGATTTCGGTGTTTCCACGCTTTTTGTGGTTTTTGTTCGGCGCTCCTTTCGTTCCATTTTATTCTGCTTGTATTTTCGAAACGTGCTAGGGTCCTCGTTGGTCAGGGATGAAATTTTGCCACCTTTTTTAGTTTTTGGACTCATTACATGTTGCTTTTGTTGATTATTTTGTTGAATTCTGTGTTTTGGTTTACTTTTCTCTTTTTCTAATAGAACGGCGCGTGAATGCGGCAACTCTTCTTGCATTACGCATGTTGGGGTGTCGGTGAACAAGCGTTGCATTCGCTCCATAGTTTCCATCAAGTTCACTGTGGCCTCTACCGGATTGGTGGAGTCAGTGATTTCACCACGACCGATCTTTTTATCACGACCTCCTACTTTAGCTCTTGCACTTCCTCCCTTTTTGGCGCTACGTGTACTGCTAAGTGTGTCCGTTGCCTCCTCCTCGACACATATATTGCTTTTGCAGCTGTTTTTGCTGTGATCACTTGCACTTTGACTGTCCTGAATGTCATTATTGAAGTTAGATGTGTGCGCTGCAGGTTCCAGGTGTTGCAGAAGCCCATCCGGTGTCCGCTCGTCGGCATGTCGGTTTGCTCCCTTCGCAGCAACAGCAGCTGTGACAATAGTAGATACCGAAGTAATTTTGGCAGTTACTGTTGGCATAGTTGCTGCTGGCGCTGTTTGCATTGGTTTTGCAACAAACGTTCTTGATGCTGCGGCAGCTGCGCTGGTAGTTGGTTTACTTGTGAGTTGGTTGATTGTTGGTATGCTTGCCTGTGGAGTATTTGGAAGAACTGCATATGCTCTATGGAGCGGAGCTCCATTGCTTCTGGCACTCGCTGTATTGGTGTTGTTGTTGAAATTGCTGTGTTCTGTAGGTGGCTCAGTTCTTAGAAGCCTTGTAGGATTTTCATTCCATTGAGAGAAGTGCGCATTGCTCGATATCAAATTACTCTGGGATTCGCAAGTACCGAAATTCCGATTGTAATAGTAAGGCTCAAAACCAAGAGGTTTGAATTCTTCATCGTCACTACCCATTTTGCCATACTGTCGATCACCTTTAAACAGTTTTGTTTTCGCCTCCAAAATTGCATTGCGATACTGATTTGGACTTTTATTTTCCTGGTCAGTTAAATCTATCAGCGAATCTTTTGATTGGACCGTTTTATTGCGGCTTTTAGTTTTCACCTCTCGCCGTTCGTTTTCAGCTCGCAATGTGGAAGATGTTCGAATATCTTTTAAAGTCTTGCGATAGCTGTCGGCAACTTTTGACACATCCTTTTTATTGCTCTCGGAAAGACTGGATACTACTTCGCGCATAGTTTCGGCCTGCAACCGCTGTCGGTCCAGATAATTTCGAAAATTCAATTCAAGTTGATTGCTTTCATTCTCAAGCTCTTGAATGCGCATCCTATAGAAAGTAAATAGATTGTAGTTGTAAGTTCATGTCAATTTTAAAGTATTGCCTACTTAGCTTCATAAACAATTTGGTCCACAGTTCGCTCTTGCTGCACAATGCTTTGAGCCATCTTCTGCAGTTGCTTCTGTGTATTCACAACATCCTTTAACAAGGGATCTCGGGCTCGTGTGTCGGAAACAGTAATTTCTTGCATGTTGTTGGAGCACTGAGGACCGCTTGGATTTATTTTGGGTTCCTTAAAAAAATTTGCGGAATATTAAAAAAAAATGTACAGTGAATTAAAAAAATTTACGGTGAATTATAAAAAAACATGTACGGTATATTAAAAAAAAAATGAAGGCGAATTATAAAAAATAATTTACGGTAAATTTAAAAAAAAATTTACGGTAAATAAAAAAAAATTTACGGTAAATTAAAAAAAAAATTTACGGAAAATAAAAAAAAAAAGTTACGGTAAATTAACAAAAAAAAAAACACTCGTATAATTTCGAATCGCTTAATATAGTACTACCATTTCTCTAACAACTCTGCGCACGATCTCATCCGTCATATCTGTTTTTGCATTAGCATCCGCTGCATCTTCTTTTTCTGCTTCAGTGGTGGGTAAGTTATTGGCTTCATGCTTGTGTACATCTTGAATTTTCTGCAGAAGTTCCGCATGTCGGCTCTCGAACTCTTTCAATTGCTGTCCAATACTCTCGTTGAGCATTCGCGCTTCATTGGAATAGTCATATTGTGGAAGACGAGAAACGTGCTGTTGGCGGAAGAAAACTAGTTTAATATCCGTACAATGGAAGTCTTACTTAAAAACCTTTACCTCCATTAATTTTTCCTGGTATTGTATTTTGAGCACTTCTGTTTGATGTCGTAGTTTCTGATCGGATTCCTTTCTCAGCAGCTCGCGCTGCTTATTTAGCGCTTTCTTTAGTGATACTTCTATCTGCAATTATACTTTAAATATGTCGTTGGTGTACAAAATAACAAATATTTACTCTGTCTAAAAACTTCTGTCCGTTTTTCGTATGGCGCATCTCATGTACCCAATCGGTGTAGGATTTTTCTGCTGTGAGCTTCTTATGCTCGGCACAGTTCGGCCGTCCATAGGAAAGGTCTACCTGCACTGCGGCTTGCGAAAGCACTGGCTTCGGTGGCAATATATGTTGCAATTGACTTTGTTTCTCATTGCTGGCAATCAGCTCTCTCGAAACCGATCTGAAACTTTCGACGCACTTGGTAAACTGTGTCGCCAATGCGTCGACCGCTGAGACAACTGCGCCCACTTGCTTGTTTTTGCGCTTTGTGTGCGTCATATGCTTCAGTTGACTTGTTACTCGCTCTAGGCTGTGGTTTAACTTGTCGTAGCGACGAGTCCTCACGCTTTTCGCAAGACGTGTGGTCGGCAAGCTGCCGCGTTTATACCGCAAGTCGTTTAGTTGCTCAGACATTTCCTTTACTTTGGAGGAAAGTATCACTAGATATTTGTTGAGGTATCTTATGTTGGCGCTCGGAATCTCATTTTTCACATAATTTGTTTTTATTGAGTCGTCTGGCAGCTGTCGACGCTCCGGTTCATGAGTTGTATTGTTCTTTTCGACAGTTTGCGTTCCTTCAGTTACAGTGCCAGGTTTTATAGAGGCAATTCTCTTCGCGAATTCCTCCTTCTGTCTCAATAAATACCGGATGAGCACCATCAACAGTGAAATATTTTTATTGTGTTCATATTTTCTAATAATGCTATTTTTAAATGGAGTCTCTTGAGATGCTTTACTAAATATGGCTTCTAAAATTTCTTTGATCTCATCACCGCTGAACCGGAAATGCGGCGAGCTCTCAAAGTCAGGAAGTGTGTTTCGAAATGGGACCTCAGTGCAAAATACTGACAAAGAAAAATGACAGTTTTGTGCATAGAGAAATTCAGCAACGAGAGTGTTGAGCGCCAACACCAATGGCGAGAGTGTCAGACGCTGCGCGGAACCACCGGTGGTGGTTGTTGTAGTTTGTGCCAAAATTTGACGTCCTGAAATTATACAATAATTTTATTCCATATTTCTTATGTTTTTGTAACGTATTTTCCCATCACTGATGCAACTAACTCGACACTGCATTGCCGACAAAAATATTATCGATAAAGACTGCTGCTATGGCAACGTCATAAATGAAGGCTTAAACAGAAATGTAAACAAAAATAATTTATGAATGAAATCCCATTGCGTATTGGTAGAAATACATGTGTAACACAATCTCTTTCCAATTCATTCATTTGTGAACCGCTTTAATGACCTCAGTCCCTTTATCGACGAGGAAGACACTCACCTAATGCAGTTTTGTTAAAGTTTGATATGAGATCTGTTCGCAACTTTGCTTGTAACGAACGCGCCACATCGTCGCGCTCCATCCAGTCACGGAAATGCTTTTCGAACTCCTTAACTGGTAGTTTAGATAAATCAGTGAGGTTGGCTCTCATATCCATGTCCGCATTAGCCATGTTGGTAGAATTCAACACGAAAAGCTTTCTTTTACCCTCATAAACTTCAATTTTTCTTCGTCTATTTCAAAAGTTTCTTAATTCTTTACCTTTCACAATGTCGAAAACTCACTGTCACTTGTTTGGAATTTTGTTTGTCCACTACAACACAATTTGAATTTTTACTGGGCGCAGTGTACAATATATTTGTGCAACAACCCCCTTCAACGCTGATAAGCATTCATGCGTAACGACAAATGTCAGTACAAATATATAATTATTTTGAACGCGAAGTATGTTCAGTGCTAACTTTATGTAAAAATTACCCAACTCACAATTCAAATACAAAGTTGGTGTAAGCAACGACTTTATATTAAGCAAATACATAAGAGAAAACTGAACTTCATTTTCTAATTATAGTGTATGATAAGTGACACAAATTGCAGAAAGATATAAATAGAAAATTGTACAAACTTTACTTCAATTCCATTTATTCTCCCTTCAGTTGGAAAAAATGTTATTTAGAGAAATAAATCAAATATATTTATTAATATTTTAATATCATTGTATTTTTTTAAGGGTAATATGGTTGGGGATTAAAATTTATAATCTACTTAAAATAGTTTTGATATTATATTTTTCCTCGGTCCCCATATAGTAGTTTAAGATTTACAACCAGAGTCTCTGGAATACAATTCTGTAAAATTGCTGCAACCCTGCGACGGATAGCCATATGTTTACGTATCAAATTCATTTGTCAATACCTGATGATTCGGTATAAAAATACAAGAAAGCAAATATAAAAACAAAATAGAGAAAAATTTGTCTAGCGAAGAAATTGTGAAATATTTGTATTGTCATTCAACTTGCATCAGGTTAAGAGAAATATCGTTTTTATTTACAATAAACTACTAAATATTTGCGAGATCATGTCCCACATAGACAATGTCATCATTCAGGTTAGAGCCCGACTACAGCTGTTGGGCATTAAATTGTGGGAAGAACCATATTATTTCTCCGATATTGGCAGTATAGAATCGGAAATCGATGTGAGTTTACTTTAAAAAATTACAAATATTTTTTGTAAAATGTTCTCAAAATTCAGTGCCTCGCACAAGATTTTAGCACAAATTTGAGTATCAGTCTATCAAATTGTAAATTAGCACTAACAGAGCTGCAAGATGGTGCTTTACGAAAGTTGGCTGCACGAAAAGAGTTCAACGAGACCGGTAAGACATCGAACACTATTTTATTAAGAGCTAGTTTAATATTTGGCTGCGTGTAGGTCTCGCTACGTTCAGCGTTAGGCGCATCAACAACCAAGAAGGTACGCAAAATATGCTAGAAGTTAAATGCGATTTAAATGCGTTGGGGAAAGACTTGCAAGGTAGTATTGCCGAAAAACTACAATTGAATGACCCGAATCGGGTCAAGTGCATATCCGCCGGGAAAATTATTGATCCAGATAAAACACTCAATGCACAGGGTAATTTTTCATTTCGAATCAAATGTCACAGCTGATAAAATTGTAATATCTAAATTTGTAGGCCTGAAAAATAATCAACAGCTTATGGTTATTATCAGTGAGCTTGATCGTGATGAAACAAATTCCAAAGAAGCCATGTATGATCGCATACGAAAAATTAAAATGGATGTCGAAGCAATAGTAGACTCAAAGCGGCAGTTGTTTGAGGTACGTATAAGGTTTAACTATCCATAAGCCTAATTAAATAAAATGTTTGTGATAGATGGAGGACCAAGATGGCAATCCTGTATTCCTGCCTCCAAATGAGAATCGTGCACTCTTGATGGCGATGGGTTTCTGTGAAAAGGCGCGGGCCGCCATAAAAAGACAGCATTACGATGAAGCTTTGATTCTTCTGCTCGAAGCTGATGAGAAATTTACTACCTGTAATTCTGGATTTCTCGAGTCGGTAGACAACTATGCCCTAGTAAATCTAGACATTGTTTGGTGTTATTTATGTCTCAAGGTATTTATTGCTGCAATAACGAATAAAAAAGAATTGAATAAACGCAAAGCTTCCATCACATTTTTAGAACGTAACGCAATTGCCCGACGCGCAACGACGTTTAGATATTTGCGAGAAAAGTTTTCGTCGCAGCTATGGTGAGAATATGAACCGCCTAATTGCGCTCAAAGGTAATGCATGTCCAGAGCGGGCACTTCTGATGCGCCTACACCTGCTGCAGGGTGTGGTGCTTTTCCACCAGAATAGACGTGATGAGGCCTACGAACGGTTAGAGATAGCTGGCCGTGAATTGCGCGAATTGAAAGTGGATGACAGCGCTGTGGAAGCACTGGTTGAAATGGGTTATGAACCGTTTGAAGCGCGTTTGGGTTTGCGTGCGTGTGGTGGCAATTTAGAACAGGCTGTCAATTTCATACATGATCGCAGGGAGAAGAAACGCGACGCGCGTGAACGTTCGCATAAAGAGCGTAAAGTAAGTTCAAAGTTATCGCGGAAAAACAGCGACAAAGACTGGGTGAATCCGCGCAGTGTCTGCACACTAATGGAGATGGGTTTTTCACATGATCTTGTTGTTGCGGCGCTGAGAAAGTCTAATAATGATTTGCAGAAAGCGGTAAATGACTATATTATGAAATTAATGTGTAAAATATTAAAGATTATGCCATTTTACAGCTGGATTTGTTGCAAACCAGTAGTGACGAGCTCTTGAAAAACTTACCAAAAAAAGAAAATGCTGATACCGACTTATTAGAACAGGTACATGAGTTATTTTACATTTGCAAGGTGTAGGCGTTTCTGAATATAATTATCCTTTCAGCTAAAGCAACTTGGTTTTAACGAAGACATGGTACGCGTTGCTCTTGAGACAACCTCAAACAATATGGAGAATGCACTCGATTTTCTTGTTAAAATATTTGGAAACGAAGAGGAGCTTGTGAAACAGTTGGAGCGCATAACTGAAGCAGGTAAAATTGTCATCGCCGGTGATGATACGCCTTCAACATCAAGCGGCATTGGTTCGCTTGTAAATACGGCTTTGGGAAAAGTGAAGGACGAAATGGAATCCCTCAAGGCATATGAACGTTTCAATGAAGATCTCACATCGAATGAGCAGGACTACCTCGATTTGCCACTACTGCAGGAGGAGCAAATTTTAGCTGAATATAAACGCTTTTTAGAACAATGATTAATAATTTTGCCAATACCACCCAATTTATTGTACGCGTATAAATTGATTTATATGAGGGGGATTTGTATATTTTACCATAAGAATAATACAATAAATATGACACACATACAAATGACAACTGTAATATGATGTTTAGTAATCTTCAAAGTAAAATAATTATTATAAGCTATCTTCGATTCGCCATTTAACTGCTCGCTATCTTTGCGCGCTGCTCTCTTGTCAAAAAAAATTACATGTAAAAGCAACAATAAAGTTATCGAGTGAGTTCATACAGAGGAACATGCGGGTCCCCGTGTCCCCGACAGTCGGATCTACGTAACCGGAACAGACCCGGATTTTTATCCGGCCAAGGACAGGCAACTCGCCAGAATACTACCGCTACAACAACAACTACAATGTTTGTATCACCTAAAAGTAATAGAGATAGACACAGGGTTATATATATATGTATGTATATGTAAATGATCCGGATGACGAAACGAGTTGAAATTCGAGTGACTGTTTGTCTGTCCATCCGTGCAAGCGATAACCATTTGAAATTTGGTGTTGTAGATGGGCGAAGTCGGATCACTGCCACGCCCACAAAACGCCATTATTCGAAAACCTATAAACTGCTATAAGTAAGCCCTAAATTATTAATTATTGTTGTGGTAAGGGCACCTATGGTTTGAAAATCTTTAAAAAGTGGGCGTGGCCTCGCCCGCCAGAAGGCTTAATGTACATATCTCCCGAACGACTTAAGCTAAAGCAACCAAACTTGCTCAAAGCAACTCTTTTTGCCACCACCTTTGAACGTGTAAAAACGGTTGAAATCGGATTATAACCGCACCCACTCCCCAAATAACAGGTATGTTGAAAAATACTAAAAGTGCGGTAACTTAATAAATAAAAGCGTGGACAATAGGCGTGGCAAATAATATTGCACTGACATTTCTATGTGTGAAAATGTGCACAATCGGACTACAACCACGCCTACTTTCCTTATAACACAATTTTAAATTCGATATGATTCTTTCACATACCTGTATACAAATCAATCACCAAGGAATGTATCGGGATAAAATTGTGCACTTTAAGATGTGCCACCTGATGACCAAAAATTGTCAAAATCGGATTACAACTATTCAAGCCCCCAGAGACCGAAATGTGAATCTAGTTCCTATAGCGAACTTTTTATTGAAAATATCCATCAATCTGTGAGAGATATAATTGAAATTCGGAAAAAATTCTTTCCTGTTAATATTATGCCCTTATCTCAAATATAGATAGAACCGAATCAATACTTCCTTTAGTCTTATATGTATAAAGATTTTCGAACTTCCAGTTGATCGTTGGAAGTTGTAAGAATATAATGTGGTGTGATTTCCGTTGTTGTTATTAGCACCAGGCACCATTCACCAAAAAATTTGGAGGAACGTTGCTGAGTGGAGAGACCTCTGCCGTATTAAAGTACGGTTATATAAACCCGACGACTGCGGACGCATGGAGTTAAGCCTTACTAGCGCCAACAGCCATTTTCCCAACATCCGTTAATGCAGCATTGAGTTAACGATATTACTTATACTGAAACCACAGCGTCATCATCAATCAAAGCAAAAAACATCTGCAAGATATACAGTTATCGAATTAGGAACACTCATAATTGACAACCCAACTTTGTTGCACCCTACTATCTTTACACTAACTCTACAAACATGGTTTTACCAATTAAAACATATCTAACAAAACCAACAACAGCCATACACCAACCATTTCGCACGCGTTTAGAACGTCAACGACCAATATATCGAATGTCAAGGGTTGGCGATCTTCTCAAAATCTGTAGAATCTCCCTTCTTCAACACTTACATCAAAACTAACACGTACTCCCAAGCTAGATGTTTCCTGAATATTAGGAGTCTCCTATATGGAGGTAATAAAGTCGATAAAGAGCTGTGAGTTGTAAAATAAGTCTTTTGACGATCTAAATGGAAAACAGATCTCGTATCAGTATAGAAGCCACAAAATATAATGTATCACTAATGGTTTCAATTCAAATCGTTCAAATCCCGGATGGGCTCAATCAAAATCGTCCTTACGTTCATACCGTCGTGGTTACTCAAAACCTGTCCGAGACCACCTTCCACTATCGTTCTTTAACTTCTCATACGCCGTTGATTACAATAATATGACAACAATTACTATTTCAATGGAGTTTTAAAGGTCTATTATCTTCTTGTGATCTTTTTATCAAAATGAACAAGCAAGATTTTTCTAAATCGTATAAATGTCAGGCTAAGCGTGGA